TTGTGTGTGTGTGTGTGTGTGTGTGTGTGTATGTGTGTCTGTGTGTATGTGTGTGTGTGTGTGTGTCTGTGTGTGTGTGTGTGTGTATGTGTGTGTGTGTGTTTCTGTCAACCACCACGTGCTGCACTCACGACGTTGTCAACCGCATCCCTCACCACCACCACCACCACCACCACCACCACCACCACCACCATTAGATTGGGCAGCGGTATCTGAACCAGCTCCGGGACAGCGCACCGGACCACCCGTTTGTCAAGGACCTCGACAAGCACGAGGAGCTGTTCCAGACATTCTCGACGCAGTACTCACAATGAGCACAATGAAGCACATCCACCCGACCCATCCCATCCATCATCCCACTCAATCAGCTGTGCAGTTGGTTGTGGTGAGTCACACCACATGTCACACCATGTCACATGGCTGCACATGTGATGTGCTTCGTGGCATGTCACACACTCCACCGCTGCCATTGCTCGTGTTGTTATCAGTTTCAGCCCCTCATGTGCATGTGTGTCTGAGTTTGTTGTGACGGTTTCAACTGTACGTTGTGTTCAAGTGTTTGTTATGTCGTTCGTTTCCCACCTTCAAATACACACATGTAACCGGCAACAACAGCCCTGCCGTCATGTCACAAAGAGATAGAGAGAGAGAGAGTGTGTGTGTGTGTGTGTGTGAACAGAGCACACATGAGACAAGACACACACACACACACACACACACACACACACACACACACACACACACACACATCGTGCACGGCTAGATGGTGCGTGGAGCGCCCCTGACGAGGATGCGGCGTGCGGATGTGCTGGCGGCGGTGGCGATGGTGGACGACGTGCGTGTGTTCAACTCAATGCGTGGCATCGCCGTCTCAAAGACATATTGCACCCAGCCCAGAACCACAGCAGGCGAGACAATGACTGCTCCCAACACACAGCGCACGGCACGACCTCAACCCCAGTCTGGCACTGCCAATCGCAATAGCCATACACACCCCGCAGACACGTCCCCATCAAGCAAATCACTCAACACAGCAAAGTCGCCACTGTGCTGTGGTCGAAAGGCGTGTTGCGTCACAGGCTCGCCGTGGTACATGAGGGGGCGTGCGCCATTCGCCCCACGTGTTTCAATTTGAGTTGCATTTCCGCAGATATTGCCGATGACCAGTTCTGCATTGCTGTATCTGGTGTGCAGGCCTGGGTAGCCCTTCTTCAGCTGACGCAGCTTGCAGCGGCGGCAATGTTCCAGCAGCAGCTTCCAGTCTGTTGAATCGCGAAGAGTAAGCAACTTTGATCCCCTGGGCAGCTTGTCCGTGCGCAAGTCAAACACGAGAATGGCCATGTCGTCATCAGCCCGGCTTGAAGCGACTGCTCGATCGTATGCATACTGCACCGCGTAAGGAAAGCTCGTGGTAGTGCAGAAGGCTTTGCCAAAGTCGCACGCGTCGCCCAGCCTTGCAGCTTCGATGCCGTCTTGGAGAATCGCCGTGGCCGCTGCGCGGGTGGTGCCATGGAAAAGACGAACCGTGGTCTCACCCTTGGGCGGGGGCAGTTTCAGACGGGGTAACGTCGCTGAAGGGAGTTGTTCAAGGAGAGTGCCCTGCTTGTTCTTGCTCTGCAACAGATCGCAACCATCACGGTGATAGACGTGCACAGCCCTGCCATCACCGCCAGCAATGTTGACTGCCCCATCTGCACCAAGCAGGATGTCATCGCCAATGAGCGGGCCTTCCATCGGCATGCACAAGTTCCACACAGCCGAGATGGCCAGCGAGCGGATCGTGTAGCCAGGGCAGCCCTCGCTGTCGAGCCTGCGGGCGATCTTGAGAAGCCGCTCACACACGTCCCCGGTAAACCCCACATCAACCACCAGCTGCGCTGCTGTCACTCCGCTGTGCTGTCTACTGCCACCACCGTCCTGGTCATGCGGAAGTAGCATAGCGTCCCACACGCTGTTGATCCTCGCCACGGCGTTGGTGTAGAGCGATTGGTTTGAGCTTGCACGTGGTTGGATTGCCGCTGCCGCCTCTGGGGTGAAGCTGGCCAGGAGCTCTCGCCGATGAGAATACTCGGCACAGCCCACTATCTCCACGACGTGTTCACGGAGTATCTGTCGAATGAGCGGAATGCTGTGAACGTGCTCTCGCAGCGCATCTGCAGCTGTGCTGTGCATGTCAGGGTCCCAGACCACGAGAAGGATCCACTGCGACTTGTGGGGTGCTGTGAACGCGTAGTCGTGGTGATCAAATCGGAAGCCATGTGGCTCGCATGCAGGTTTCAGCTGCTCAAATGCAACCCGCGCCCAGTCTTCTGCCGGATGCTCGTCGTCGTTGACGTGGTTGTTGCTGGTGAAAAGGCGGCTGAGGTGGATGTTGTCTTCACCATTGCAGTACCACACCATGAATCGTGCCTTGGACGCCCACACTTCAGCGCACTGCAAAGCAAGGTCCTTCTGAATTGACTTGCAAGCTGAGACGAAGTCGTGGGGTTGCGCCGAGCGATCACCTTCAAACTCCATCAATGTAATGAAGGCATCGTCATCTTTGGACTGCGGTGGGATGTAACAATCCACGCGCAGTCGCGCGTTAGATGCAGCCTCCTTCACCACGATGAGGTGCGTAGACAGCAGTCTCCGCGCATACTCACGAGGCCAGTCCTGCCAGGACTTCCAAACAAGGTAAGCATTGAGCAGCTGATTGTAGTCACCGTCTTTGTGCTTCAGAGCTTGAGTGGTCGTGTGAAGCGACGGCTCATCAGGGGGGAGGTTTCGCAACTTGGTCGCCAATGAGCATGGCTGTACATCCACGTTTGCGCGAGCCAGAGTCGATACGAGTACCGATATTGTGGGGTCTTGACAATTGCTCTGCACAGCAGCAGCTGTGGTTCTGGTGGCTGCTCGCACGATGTTGGTTGCCTCGTCCTTCTTCATCTGCAAGACAGCCCGCACGAAGTCCCGCCATAAAGCCCTGTCTTCAGTCGAAAGCAGTGAGCAAAACTGCTCAAGAGTGAAGTGCACGGTCCTGCATGGTGGTGTGTCTCGGGGCTGCGCAACCGATCCAAACTTCGTTTTGACGACAGCTCTGCCATCTTGTGTCACGGCATAAGCATCTCCAAAGAGAACAAGAGCGCGATGCATGAGAGATGGTGGTCGTGGTCTTGACTGTTGTTGTGTGGCAGTTATTATGGAACAATTTGCAAATTGAAGGGGTGAGAGTGCAATTAGCAAACCGTGCACTGTGTGTGTGTGTGTGTGTGTGTGTGTGTGTGTGTGTGTGTGTGTGTGTGTGTGTGTGTGTGTGTGTGTGTGTGTGTGTGTGTGTGTGTGTGTGT